TATATTTCTATATCTTATATTTTTCTTTATTAAAATTATATAATTTCTTTTTAACCTAATCTGAACTTTTAACTTTTAGAAACGTTGAATATTTTTTCTTTGACAAGTAATTAACATTCCTCTGATTAGCAAATATATTCATATTTTCAATAGACATTTTTCAATAGATTATTAACAGATCTAAATTCATCTTATAGCTTTTCTGTAATAAGAACCCAAAGTAGGCAAACTCAGTTTAATTGACATTTTTGTATACTTCAAGGGGGTCCTGAAGGATGGGATAGAATTTCCTCGGGGGGGCTGGGAGGAGTTAACTGTCCTTCAGGACAGGCGGAGGCATTGTTAACAAAATTTTTTTCCTTTCATTTGAACCTCTGGACACTGACATTTCTAATCCAAATATTAATGTATACCTTTGATCAGGGTGGGGAACCCCGTACATAACGGACCTCACAGCAAACAAAAGATTCAAGTCAAAAGACCCTTCGGATGGCTAATTAACTCGGAATGTTGGCCACTCCAACTCACAGAGGGTCCGGAGGACCCCAGGATCGGCTGGTGTTCTGTAGCCTTGGGATCTCCTGGAAAAGTCAGAAAAGTTAGCAAGAATGCATTCAAGGGGGGGTACGGGGCATTGACAGTCCTGTCTCATCCTATGGAAAGCAAAACAGTTAGAGCAGCAGAGAACACGGAACACAGACAGACAGACAACCGCGGTCAAAACACAAAATATTAATTTCAGAACAGACGCACCCGAAAGTGCCAGATGGAAACCCACCGGGTCTCCTGCACCCGAAAGTGCCAGACGCACCCGAAAGTGCCAGATGCACCCGAAAGTGCCAGACGCACCCGAAAGTGCCAGATGCACCCGAAGGTGCCAGATGGAAACCCACCGGGTCTCCTGCAGACGCACCCGAAAGTGCCAGACGCACCCGAAAGTGCCAGATGCACCCGAAGGTGCCAGATGGAAACCCACCGGGTCTCCTGCAGACGCACCCGAAAGTGCCAGACGCACCCGAAAGTGCCAGATGCACCCGAAGGTGCCAGATGCACCCGAAAGTGCCAGATGGAAACCCACCGGGTCTCCTGCAGACGCACCCGAAAGTGCCAGACGCACCCGAAAGTGCCAGATGCACCCGAAGGTGCCAGATGCACCCGAAAGTGCCAGATGGAAACCCACCGGGTCTCCTGCAGACGCACCCGAAAGTGCCAGATGCACTCGAAAGTGCCAGATGGAAACCCACTGGGTCTCCTGCAGACGCACCCGAAAGTGCCAGATTAAAACAGATTGGTACCAATTTCAGAACAGATGGAAACCCACCGGGTTTCCCAGGTCAGGAGTCGGCGTCCCGACCCTGAGGGGGAAGTGCGGTTCAGCGGCGTCCCGCCCGCAACAATCCCAGAACGCTCCGGAGCTACTGAAAGGGAAATCCCTTACCCAGATCCTCGAGGCTGAAGTCTTAGTCCGAATTAGCCGAATCAAAGCCAGAACGAATGTAGGTGCGGAGGGCGAGGAGGCAGCCCTCCGCGTAGTCTGAGGAGGTCGACCCCACGGAAAAGGGGGACCTCGCGGCTGATCTCGCTGGGGCCTCCAAATGTTGTAACCCAGGAGATCGACCACACTCAGACTTCATTTTTTAGTTTTTGGGGATGTTTTATTACCTGCGCAGGGACTGCAGCCAACCTACACAGAGGAGAACTGCAGCCCCGAGCTCAGGGGGAGGGTTGCTTATATAGGGCAGGGGTCATTCAAGGGTTTAGCAGAGCAAGCAAGCTGCTTGTACAGAAGCGGAGGCAGTTAGCGATAAGCAGGAGGGAATGGAGGGGGGAGGGAGCTTCAGTTTCTCCCTATCAGTTTCTTTACAGAGCATGCAGGACACTCTGGCCTTGGGGCCGTTTGTGTCCTCCCTTTTCTTGAAGGATGTTGCTTTTCAAATTCCCAGTGAAGGTCAAACTCTAGTTAATTTTTATGGGGCTAAAGCCCTCTATAACATTCCCCATTGTTCATCTTGCTGTCTCTGAGGTTGTTAATTAGGGCAGCTTAAAGACAAGTTGGATTCTAAGGACAGTGAGCTACAACATACTCACTCATACATGTTATGGAAACTGTTTTTCAGCTTGTTAAATAATAGAAACATAAAATTTTGATTAGTGAGTGTCCCAGTGTCAATAGGAGAAACAGGAAGAGACTTGGGCCACAAATTCTATCCTACCATCCATTAAACAATACTAACTCTGTATGACCAACATGCTAATTATAAAAGATGCCATCTGTGATGTTCACTTAAGGAAACAGGATTAGGGTGAACTAATCCAGTTGAGATGAGGACAGTGCACAACCTAAAATTAGGCACAGGGTATTATTAGTCATGGGTGTTGACTGCAGTGGGGAAAAACATATTAGTGGCAAAGTGGAAGGTAAATGGCCGGTGTAAAATACTGCTGGCTGCAGAGTTGAAACCATTTTGTCTTAGGGAAGCATAGTTTATCTAGCCCTACGGTTGTTGAGAAACTGGGGATTTAACTGATTGTACTTCACAACTGATAGACTGTGTGGAATGTATCAAATCAGCATTGATGTAAAACAGCTGTTTGTATATTTGAATGCCAGCATCGAGGAGGCCAAGTAAAATGAAGATGCTCTGGCATAAAACAAAGACATCATTGTAATCATCAGGATGCTTTTTACACATTGTCCTAAGATCATTGCGTAATTATCTGAGTCTCTCAATAACTTCTTCTCTGCCACCGAACCAGTTCGTTTGAGAAATTAAACATCCATGTTTTAACCTTGAAAGGCTGAACACATTTTGTGAATTAATAGCCACACAAGGCAGGCATCAGAGGTGGAAGAACGGGTACTTCTCCATCAATCCTGTTCAGTAGCTTCTTAGTGTCTTCATCTTTCATCCGATGGAACCACAGCATCCACACCTTAGTTCCTGAGGATATTAGACACTTCTGAGCTGTTTGATTTTATTATTGTTTATCTTTCAGAAATGTTTATGCATCTAAACAATAAATAAGCTAATGGGTTATAAGCCAATTGAAATAAACTCTTTGCAGGAAGAAAGATTCTGGAATACATGTGAAATAATTGGGTTTAAAACAATCTTGGTCAGACCAACCGTGGTCAAACCAAACTAGCCAAATTTTCCTTGCCTTCTGAAGTTTGAATTTTTTTATTAATTAAAGATACGGTAGAAATTTAAACTCCAAAATAGATAAATCTGTATAAAAGTACCACATTCTCTAGCAGGCAAAGCATATTTGAACCTTTATTCTTAATTCAGTTCTCCAGTACCTCTGAAATGTTCTGGTTGTTGATTTGAACGTTACAGGAAACTTTCAAAGATAGTATCTATAAAACAACATGACAAAAAGGCTATACAGTTCATATTTAATTCAAAGTATTTTGCTCTGAGATTTTAAAACTTACCCATTTAAGAGAAAAATGAATTACTTTATGTTTTTTAAAAAATATATGTTTTCATTGATTTTTTTTTTTTAGAGAGAAAGGGAGGGAAAGAGAAAGATAAACATCCATGAGAGAAAGAAACACAGACTGGCTGCCTCCTGCACGCCCCCTACTGGGGATCCAGCCCATAACCCGGGCATGTGCCCTGACCTGGAGTCGAACTGGGACCTCTCAGTCCATGGGAGGATGCTCAATCCAGTAAGCCACATTGGCTGGGCTAATCATCATTTTAATTTATTTTTTTCAACAACCAGTGCTTATGAAGTTTCTAGGAGGCACTAGTGAGGTGTTACTGAGCCCAGAGTGCCGTGTAAATAACAATGTGTCTTTGTACTAGTTCAAGCCTTCTGCGGTCACCTGTCAATCATCTACCACAATAAAAGGAACACTGAACTCTAGGTAATTCCCACTGCTCTCTGGAGGACGGTGCAGTGTTTGAGATGGATGGATGAAGCCAACTTCTGTAATCAAGAACCAAGCACCAAGAAATAGAGGGTCACTGCTTGGGGAAGGGAAGAAAACTTTATCTGATTGAGAGCAGACAAGTGGAAGGAACTGAAGGTTGAGTTGAGAGCTTTATTATCAAAGTTAAAGATTTAGAGTGTGGTTTTGACTCAAGAAAAAAGTGCCAATCATGGTTTTCTTCTGCAACTTTGGACCCACTGCAGTAATGGACAGACCTATGGAGGTTTCACCATAATCCCAGGAAACAGGGACTTGGGGAAATATTGGTAAGATAGATTTACTTCTAGAGTGGAGACGTCCTATACAAGATGTAGGGATAAGCTGCTTCACCCACCCATGTTTTAAAATAAAAATAAATTATTTAATGCTATTTCTAGGTTGCATTACCTATGTAATAGCATGGTTAGAGGGCATTTAAATAAGCAACTTTTGTTTTGTACCCTCACTAGTTTAGCAGTCCAGTTTCCTAAAATATATGTGTATTCACCTTAATTGCATGGATAAGGGTCTCAGGCCATTTTCATTGCTTTCAATCTCATTTGTTTCAACTTGAATTTAGCTTCTATTTTTAACCCAAGTGTTAATTGCCTCATTAACACCACAAGGCTTCTCCCACAGCAATTCAATGCTCCTAAGCAGCAATTAATTTATCCTGGCCTACATGATGCCTCTGGCTCTCTGGCACTCTCCAGTGCTCCCTGAACCATTTTTTAAAGAGACATTTATGCCTAGTCCAGCTGCTTTTAATTCTCTCACTGATGTCCGTTCCCCTTAAGAGAGGGCTACAATTCAGTTTAAAAGACACAGATTATTATGATTTAGGAAACCATATTTATATTTTTTCCAATTTCTTAATTTTTTAAATTAAACTCACTGGGGTGACATTGGTCAATAGGATTATGTAAACTTCAAGTGTACATTTCTATGATACAGCATCTGTATATTGCACTACCTCCCCACCCCCTTCCTTTTGGTAACCACCATACTGTTGTCTACGTCCATGAGTTTTGCCTGTTTTTATTATTTGTTCATGTATTACCTTTATTGAGTTTTATATAAAAATATGTGGAATGCTTTAATTTACCTGTCTTCCTTGCGAAGGGGCCATGCTAATCTCTGTATCGTTCCAATTTTAGTCTATGTGCTGCCAAACCAAGTTCTAGGAAACCATATTTAAAGGACTAAGGAAAGACAGATGACAAAGTTGCAGTACATAGTTCCCCCAAACGGTGAGAGTGGTGGGGGTAAAAGACAAAGATGTAACATTCGTGAAGCCCTTAGAAACATCAGGGGGTCTGAAGAGCATTTGTGGTTTGCTCGCAGATTCAATATTCACAGATACCTACCTTAGTCATATCCCATTTTAGAAAAGAGGAAATAGAGGGCCAGGCTTAAAACTTCCAGGAGGGAAAACTAGGACTTGAATGTAGATCTGCCTGACTCAGACTATTGCACTGTTAGGAGGTTAAAGAGAAGAGTGGAGACTGTTGAGTGAAGACAAGGTTCCAGTCTGGACAAGGGGAACGAGAGTGGAGCTGGCTGATTCTGTGTTCATGTCACAGAGGCAGCCTCTAGATTTCATCATCTGTGTGCTTGGTGCTTCAAGTTCAAATAGTATTAGAAAGTAAAGTTCTACATGCAAAATAGCCCTATGACAGGACCCAAAGAGAAGTTATTTCCCAAGACTTTTCTGGAAAGCTTCAAACTCCGAACAAACAACTCAGGATCGAAATTTAAGCTTGACCGCAGAGATTCTTAGTATGATATGACGGATTTTTAAAAAAAATTTATTTAAAGGACCTTTGATCTCCTTCCCACTTCAGAAAAGCCCTTAAGTCTCCACGAAGGACTGTTAAAAAAAGCAAGGATTTGGATAAAGTCCATCCTATTAATTTTGTCATTAATTCTAATGAGTCACTCCCATAAAAATGCAATTCTTTCTCTTTGCTTTTGATAATTATTAGAGATAGCAAGACTTGTGATCAAATATTTTAAAACTAGAGTAAGTGGCTGCATTGCTATCATAAACACACATTGAATACTCTTAATGATCTCATGTACTAATTAAAAAGGTTAAAAACCTGGGAAGGGAAAACATGTTTCTGAGGACCGGACACTCTGAAAGTTCTTTGTTCTTTAATAATATTAGTAGTGGTAGTAGCAAGCTCTTATTGAGGGCTTTCTCTATGCCAAGGCCTTTTCTAAGTGCTGCAAATGTAAAACTCCATTTCTTACAATAACTCTATGAGACAAGTACTATTATTATCCCCATTTGACATGTAAGAAGTGAACTTATCCAAAGCCACACAGCAAAAAGTGATAGAGTTGGGGTTCAAACCCAAGAGACCTCTTAACAACTATGCTGAGCAAGAACACAATTATATTTCTCTGGATTCAGTTAAGTCTTCCAGTTTACAGAGGTCGTGTTTTCTAATATTTAGGAAGATGTCTAGACCTTCAGACAGAAAATAAATTTTATTTATTTATTAAAAAAATTTTTTTATTGATTTTATAGAGAGAGGAAATGAGAGGGAAAGAGAGATAGAAACATCAATGAGAGCGAACATCAATGAGAGCGAACATTGATTGGGTGCTTCCTGCGTACCCGCCACTGGGGAGCTGGCCCACAACCTGGGCGTGTGTTCTGACCAGGAATCGAACCAATGACCTCTTGGTGCACGGGTTAATACTCAATGAGTGAGCAACAGCAGCTGGACCAGAAAAGAAATTTTAAATAATCAGAGTTCCCAAACTACTTGGGAAGAATATATCACATGATAGTCTAGAACAGGTCTGCTAACTTTCTGTAAAGGGCCACAGGGTAAATATTTTAGGCTTTCTAGGCTGTATAGTCACTGTTGCAACCACTCAACTCTGCCTTTATAGTGCAAAAGCCTCTATGAAAAGAAAATACATAAACCAAATGGGCATGTATGTGTTCCAATAAAATTTTATTTACAAAAACAAGCAGTGGGCCAAATTAAGCCCAAATGCTGTACTTTGCTGACTCCTGATCCAGAGTATTGGTTTTCTTTTTATTATTAAATTTATTGGGGTGACATTGGTTAACAAAATTATATAGGTTTCAAGTGTATAATTCTATAAAAGAGTATTGGTTTTCTTTTCTTTAAATTTATTTTTATTGTTGAAAGTATTACAGATATCACTCCCTTTTCCCCTCATTGACCCCTCCTCCCCATCTCCGCACCTCCTCCTTCACCACACTATTGTCTGTGTGCGTGCGTTGGTTATGCATACATGCATTTAAGTTCTTTGATTTATCTCTTCCTGCCCCTCCGCCCCCCCATTTTCAATGTAGGATTAGGAGCATAACCTGGGCCATTGTTAGAAATGCAAATTCTTGGCCTCCCCACTCCAGATCAGAAACTCTGGGGGCCCACCTCTGTTTAACAAGTCTTCCAGGTGATTCTAATTCATGCTATAGTTTGAGAACAACTGATCTAGTAAAAGGAAACTAATGTTTTGAGTACTAAGTAGTGGAGCTGAGATTTAAACCAATGGGTGTCTCAGAGTCCAACTTATACCTTAGCTAACTAACATATCTCCAAAATAATCTTGGAACTCAATCTATTCCCACCTGCTCACAGTTGAAGGAATTAGGGACCAAATAGATTAGGAAGATTTTCCCTAGCTTATTATTGCTCCCAATTCAATGTTCTTTCCTTTGGCCAATGTGGGAAATGCAAAGAAAGCAGAAATCCCCTTCAAGCACTGTGATTACACCTAACCAGCCGTTTTCCTGGAATGATGGAAAGCCTCTACTCCTTCTAAGGGGTATCTCACAGGTTCCATGCCACTAAGGCAGATGCTGGACTTTCCTGATCATTACACCATAACTTGGGTCATGATCATAGGTGCTGAAATTTCATCCAGCCTCTCCCCAGTTCCCGGATGTAAAGGCACAGAAGCGATCTCAAATGTGTGAAGAAGGAGAAAAAATATTGATCTTCTATAAATGCTAGAAATTATTTTATCTACTTTGTATATATTAACTCAAATAATCCTTTCAAGAATAATGAGGTAAGACATATGATTGTATAGATGAGAAAACTAAAAGGTAAATAAATGTAACTGAGAAGATGGCGATGTGTGAGAGTGTGAGTGAGTGTGAGAGAGAGTGTGAGTGGACGTGAGTGTGGACAACCAACATTGAGCAGTGAAGAAACGTGGGGCAGAAGGTTCCTGTGCTATGGACAGAAAGCAGCTGGCTACCGAGGTAAGTGGCTCATCAGGGCGCTTCTCCCTGTGCAGCCGGGAGGTCATGCCATTTTGGAAGATCCCTGATCTTCCCTGGGAGGAGGCAGTGGGGAGTGGCTAGGGCCAAGCGACTTGAGTCCAATAGAGCACCTTGCACCATTGAACCAGTGGACCCACTGTGCCAATGCAGACCAGCACATAGTAGTGGTGCTACCGAGGTGCCTGCTGCAGTACCTGCAACCATCCAGGAGCTGAGCACCATCCCCCATAGCAGCAGTGACTGGGCAGGAGTGGAGCCCCACCCCAACAGTGGCTGAGGCTCGGGAGCTGAGACACACCCCCAGCAGCAGAGACTCGGGATCTAACATCCATCCCCAGGCAGCAGCAGCAGCGATCGGCAGCCGAGACCCATCGCCAGTGGCATCAGCAGAGGCTGATCAGGAACAGTACCCCACCCCAAGCAGCAATATGACTCGAGAAGCCAAGACCTGCCCCTGACATCTGCAGCAGCAGATTTGGAGTGGAGCCCCTCCCCCAGCAGCAGCAAAGGCCCAGGAGTAAAGCATCCTCAGCCCCCAACAGCAGCAGATAATTGAGAGCTGAGAGAACCCCTTGGCAACAGCAGCAGCAGTAACAGTGCAAATTGAGAGCTGACACTCGCCCCAGCAGCGACTAATCAGGAGCTGAGCCCCATCAGGCAGCAGCATACCCCAGCGCATACCCCAGCACCATACCAGCAGGTTCTACGCTCTGCAACAGCATACCAGCGAGACCCCTGTACCCCAGAAGCATACCAATAAGACCCACAAATCCCAGCAGGACCCACGCACCCCAGGCAGCAGAAATACAGCAGCTAAGACCCATCCCCAGTGGCATTGGCAGAGGCTGATCAAGAGTGGTGCCTCGGAAAAAAAATGGCGGCGGAGTGAACGGAGCTACACAGACCGTCTCCCAGAACCAAACTGGAATTACAACTATAACACAGACAAATCGACGGGAAAAACCAACAGAAAAGCAGCTTGCGAGGACCATACAACGAGGGACACTGACTCCATCCCGGTAGGCTTGCGAAGGCGCCAGACGGGGCTGGGAGCCCACGGTCGGCAGCTCGGCAGCAGCCTCAGCTGGGAGCAGTGCCCTCGGGTCACACTCCCAGGCGGCTCCACAGCGCAGCCGGGACAGAGGCTGAAACAGCCACAGCCACTCACCTTGGGCTCCGGCAGAGGGAGGGCGGACTGGACTGGAACTGTGTGGGGACACTCGGGATTTGGAGGGCGCTAAGAGCTTTGGCTGAGTGCAGCCACTCAGGAAAGCAGCCACATTGCTCCTTCCCAGGGCTCTGAGGACAGGCAGCAGCCCCTCCCTAGATCCAACCCCACCCTGTGGGCCATTGAAGTGCTAATTGAGGCTCACTAACAACCAGCATCTGCCCCACCCTCGTGAAAGCCCCTTGGCTGAGCACCAGAGGGAGTTTTTCAATCAACTGATAACCCAAAACTCATCAATTAACCTAGACTGCTAGCCTCCAGGCAAAAAGCTAGAGGATAACAGTACGTTTCCTGGGCTGGCAACTTTAACCAGAAAAGTAAGACTTGACAGTGGTGTTCAACGTGGGTCCTCCCTCACTCATCTAAACACAGGAGACGGAGCCACAAACAGCAGAACACCAACACCCTCAGGGAGAACTTGACAGGCTCCAAAGCCCACAGTGATAGCCAAAATGGTGAAACACAGAAACAGAAGCCAAATGAAAGAGCAAGACACCTCCAACGAAGATGAGATCAATGTGGAGCAATTAGGCATGTTAACAGAGCTAGAATTCAGAGCCATGATATTGAGGAAGCTGAACAGCATAAGGACATAGAGACACTGAAAATAAGCCAATTGGAAATTAAAAACCAACAAGAAGAGATAAAAAATGACATATCAGAAATGAAAAACA